CCCCAGGCCTGTGGTCAGGGCTGGACCTTATCACTGACCCTAATCCTAACCCCACAGGTGTGGCTGTGGTCAGTTTGGAATATCATCATCTGTAGTAGCTTGAGTCTGAGCATTGGTGCTCACATCAGAGAGAAGCTCCTTAATTCTGGGAATGTTTGGGACAGGCCTGGTATTAATCTATTTTAGTGAGTAGCCAGAGGCTTAAATCCTAACCCCACAGGTGTAGCTATGGTCAGTTTGGAACAGGCCTGGTCTAATCCCTAATACTTTCCCACTAGGATAAAATATCATAAAATGCTCCCTAACCAAGCCAGATAGGGAGCGTTCCTACTGTATAAAGTATTTAGTTGACCAGATTGGTGACCGACTCGAATTGGCCACAGGTGAGCTTCAATCTTGGACTTAATCCCGAACAATTTTATCCTAGTGGGAATGGGGCTTATTAGTGGCAAAAGGCCTAAACAGCACAGGTGTGGCTATGGTCAGTTTGAAACAGGTCTGGTCTAAATCCATTTTAGTAAGTCCGATAATATAATCCAAACCCCCACAGGATTAGCTGTGGTCAGTTCTGAACCTGGAACAGTCCTGGTTTTAATCCCCTTTAATAAGTTCCCAGATATCCGAGATTATCTGAGGAGACAGTGCTAATCCTGGCTGACCAGTGGATATAAAAACCACTGTTTTGCAGTAATCTTCACTGTACAGCAGGTGTTTGGAGTAAAGCAACATCTGCAGTCCTGGAAATGTTTTGTTTCGTGGCCTCATGGTTTAAATGGATTAGGCCACACTAAAGAAATAATTTGTTTCAGTAGAATTAAAACAACACTCTCAATTAATCCTAATCCAAAGGCTGCACTGATTTGCAGTAATCTGTGCTGTACGGGTGTTACTGTTCATTTGAGCATCGTCCTACATGTATAACTGCACTGTTTCTTGGTTACAAATTAAGTCAGGATCTGTAAGTATACATAGGCCAAGGAATTTTGCACAAAGAGACAATACATTCATATGTTTTTATGTACCTGTTTTAATCTGTTCTTGTACCAATTTCTTCTTAAGTTTTTTTTTTTTTTCATCAGCTTCCCTGAGCATATTTTGTTGTCCTCGCATGCATTTCTAAATCATTTAACATTCAAGTTCCAACCCTGATTTAATCTTGAATTCCCATACAAGAAAAAACTGTCTATCGCATGGCTTTTTTTGTCACATTTATGTGCTTTTGTAAATTTATGTGTCACTGAGTTAAATCTTTAAGCTCCGCCACACCCAAAGGTGATTTGTGACCTTCCCCTAATCCCCTGACCTTTCCCCTAATCTCTTTATAACCTGCATGTTTAATCCTGTCTGATCCAACATGGCAGGCTGCAGTTGTGTCCTTGGAAAATTTCGCACTTGACTCAGGTGAAAATGAATTTTGGTTAGGTTACCTAGCTTTGGTTAGGGACATCCTTAGCTTGGATAGGACGTAAATTCGAAGGTCCCATGTTTAGGGACAGCCACACCCCACACATGTTAAAGAAAGTTACTTAATAATGGTAACTGCACTTGTCAAAAAGAGCAGGCACTTTGCATCTATTTCCTCACTTGACTCAGGCGAAAATAAATATCAAGCTTTGGTTACGGACGTCCTCTCGGAGGTCCTGTCTTTGGGGAGAGCCACACCCCACGCACGTTAAAGAAAGTATGGTAACCGCACTTGTCAAAAATAGTAGGCACTTTTACACCTATTTTCTCACTTGACTCAGGTCGAAATGAGTACCTAGCTTCAGTTAGAGACATCCTCTTGGATAGGACGTAAAGCCGGAGGTCCAGTGTTTGGGGAGATCTAAACCCCACGCATGTTAAAGAAACTACGGTAACCGCACTTGACAAAAAGAGGGGACCTTCCCGGTGTGAGTGGTTCAAACCTTACAGTTTGGTCTCTTGCAGCCTGTACCTACTAGTACTGTACAAAACTGGTGTGTTACAAACATGTGTATGCCTAGGCTAAAGGCAGTTTTCTTTTTTATGTGAAGCAAACAAACCAGTAAACAAATGATGACGAATGGAATAAAAGTTTGTCACACTTTGTATATATCCGAATTCACGATGGGGAGGGGGGCATTTTTCTATTATTCATAAATTACTGTTAAAAATTCAGTCCCACCCACCTGTAAGCTACATGTAACTACCCTTCTGTAAGACATCTGACCTTTGTAGTTACTATAAGTCCCGATTTTTTCACTGTACTGTTATGTTCACTGTTTTCACTGTCACTTCTGTACCGTGAACTTATCATTACAGTTAACAAATAATTCCTGGACTTTTTTTTTACTGCACCTGTCGCCACCCTGAATATATAGTTCCGTGAACATGTCCACTTTTCTGAAATTTTGCTACCATGAACATAAAGTGAATTACAGTACTCCTCAGACATCCATGTTAAGTCCTGTCTGACTCCATCCCAGGCGCTGATGGGAGAAGACAAGCTTGTCTGGTTATTACTGACACCGCCTTACAACCAGGATTACAGCAGAGCCGGGCGGGCGGACATGCTGACATCATCAGCTGTACTACAACCGGGCGGGGGTTAGGAGCATCTGCGAAATGTGATTCAGGCCACACCAATTTAATTTGTTGGCTCTTGGACTTTGGAGTTTCTTTTGATCAATTTTTGTTAAGTTTTAATAGTATTATGATTTGATCAGCCATCCCTGGCTATGTAGGGTTGCCGACCGGAGCTTCTATTGCGTGCAATCTACGTTTGATCAGAAAATACACCCCTCCCCCAAAAAAAGACCAATCCCAAAACGCCTGAAAAGGAGGCTATAGAAGACTCAACTTTGCAGAAAACTGTATTTGCTAATTAGGCTTTCAGCTGCAACTGAAGTTACAAAAGTAAGAAAAAAGCCAGAATAAACTGCAAATGTTGACTTTTTTGCTATGTTCTAATTTTTGCTGACTTCTTTGCCAGCTCATCACACTATAAACTTATAAGGATACTCCCATATTTTCAAAAATATAAAATCTTTCTGTCACAGAATTTCCAGTAATCTCCTTTTAGCAAACCCAGCCCCCTTCCCATCTTTCTTGGTTTGCCTTAATCCTGTCTTACCCAGAGTGCATTCCTTAAGAAGGCTGAACGGAAGTCTTGGACACGTCTTGGGAGGAATTCACACAGACAAAAGCCCGGTGACCTGACATGTACAACAGACCTGCGATGGTTCGCCTCAAGTGTTCCTGGCTTTGTCCAACTTCCATGCTAAAGCAGGGCTGAAAATTCATGTTTGGGAATAGGTGCACTGGTGCACCCAACCTAAAAAATTGGGTGCACAAAAAGTTTCGGGTGCACCATATAAGATAAAATAAGACAAATTAAAACTAATTATGTTTCATTTAAAAAAATTGTGTACTACAACAATGATTTTTATTATTTTTCTAACACTTAGATAACAAGAATATGCTGTATACATTTAACATCTATACATACATAAACCTATGAAAATATTTGGGTGCACTGGTGCACCCACAGAAAACAACTGGGTGCACAGTTCTAAATTTGAGTACACTAAGGTGCACATGCACCCAGTATTTCCAGCCCTGGGATAGTTTTCTTCAAGTGTTCCCCGCTTTGTCAGACTTCCAGGCTTAACACTCCTTAGAGGTAGATGCCGGTTTTCTTACTTAAGATGCGGGCATTGTGTTCTCTATCACCTTAAGGGCTAAGAAGGTTAGAGCTTCCAGCACCCATCAGTAGTCATGGCAACGGCTGTGTGTATCCATGACAACGGCTGCGTATCCATGGTAACAGCTGTGTTACCATGGCAACAGGTCCAGGGTATTGTGGAATGAATCACAGACAGACTAGTACAACAGAGTTCGATATGTAGGGACTGTGTATGTGAAATAGCTTAATGTTATAAGTATATGGACAAGACTGTAATCTTCTTAAAATCTTAGTAAGGAGTTGCGAAAGAGTGCACTAGTGATTGTGTACAAGTTTGGTTTGGTTTGGTTTTTTGAGATCCCGTTGGTAAATACAATCAGCACATTTTGTTAGAAAGGGGCGTAAAATTTTCAATCTGAACATCCACATAGAAACAAGACAACCTATTTTTGCATGACATACTTTTTCATCCCTTGGATTTGGCTGCAATTTCTGTTTTTTTCATCACAGCTTTTCAAAAAGTTTCCAATTTTTACCCAACCCACCTCCCTTTCTTCATATTCCTTTCTGCAAGAATGGGAAGGATATTTTACATCGACCACATAGAGAAAAGTAAAGCCAGGGATATTTCAGTAACACCTTTTTAACAAAGGACAGATTCTTCTCTTTGTTGTGTAGCAAGAACAGACACAGCCTGTTTTCACTATTTCAGGAAGAGACTTATTTTTTAAGATCTTCTCGGATCAGTAGAGATCTCTTAAGGCACCCTCTGGGTTCTTAAGGTGCAGGAATTTGCATCCGAAGGTCTAACAAAAGCTTCAGGTAGAGACGTAAGCCTTTATTCTCACCCGTGGGGCAGGAATGGAGGTGCTGAAGCCATGACAAATTCAAGCTGTTTTTTTTTTACAGTAACAAACTAATTCAAAACAACACTTATATAGGTTTGAAGTCACTTTTAAGAATTTCTTCTTTCAAATGATTCCAAATTCAAACCCTAGACAAAGGCTTGGTTTCGCGACACCTTTTTCCAGGCCTTTTTAGGTGATTTTAGGTGATGTTATATCTTAATATAGACATGTCAAGAACATGTAGAGAGTGCGGCCTTGCCAGTGGGCACATACTGTATATGTACACAGAGCTGCTTGGAAACATGGTTTTGAAGACTAGCCTATTGCTTAGCCTGCGTGTCAGCCTTTTAGCTTTCGTCCGCTCCCCACAATCCACTACTGGCTGAGCAGATGGAAGCCAAAAAGGCTACCACTGAGGCTAATAACTGCTACCATCAAAGACTTGGATACAACTACTACTACTACTAGTACTACTTATGAGTACTACTAACGTTACTACTACTCACCCCTCCTCTGTCTGACACTGGGTATGTCGTCCATCCTCCCAGAGTGGACATGGAACGGGTATCCAGGAGAATCTCTGAAAAGATGGAAAACATTCAAATTTAGTCAAGAAAATCACAGAATATTACTAAGAATTTTATGGGCATGTTTCTTACGTCTGTGAAGGATAGATATCCAGGTAATAAGGTATGCCACAAAAAACAGTTACTCAAGCTTTTCTGACAACTCTCCAGTGTCACTGACAAAACATAGTGGGTGCTGCCTGAAATGTCTGTTTCCAAAATCATATCCAGTAGGTTGGTTGAGTAATTGTTTTTGGCGTGCTTCTAAGGTTTGCACAATTGTTCATTTACACTTCAGTGGATTTTAAAAAGCCTGATGTCTGTCTGAGCCTCTAACAGATCTCAATGTTTAGAACAAGAAATTAGAGAATCCAGACTTCCTGAATTTCCCCCAAGGTATGTGGCTCTCTCAGGTGCCTCACCTGTTAGGCAGTTACAGGTGTGCTAAGGTAGGTAGGTCTTTTGTTGTTCCATTGTTTACATACAGCACTGGTAATTAGCCCTATCATCATATCACAGGTGTCATGTTAACGAGGTTAGACCAACAATGCCTTTGTTTTGGTCTGCAGGTACATGTAGTTAGTAAATAGCCTTTACGAAATTTTTGCAGATGCACAATCAGGAATCTTATACGGTACATATTATACAATATGTAAGTACCTGTATAATTATACAAACATGTTATGCTATGACAAATCACAGGTACAAATGTAGAGCTTGCACTTTTGAAATGGCTCTGTTATATTTTTATAACCTGGTGGACAGTTTTGTTCTTATTTTATAAGTAGCTATTCTACTCTTTTTCTAGACATGATTTTCGGAAGTCTGGCTCTGAGCATAATATTTTGTTGATTTCTGTAGTGGGATTTACGATTTGGAAACATAAGGAAAATCTCTTCCATAGGGAAACATACGGAAATTCTCTCCAACACAGAAACATAAGGAATCCTTCTCTGATTGTTTCAGTACAAATTGAAAGCAGCCATGTGTAGCTGTAAACACGGTTCCTGTCCAAACAGATCAGAGAACGGTTTTTGAGCAGGCTTATTTCAAGCAGCAGTGCTCAGAGAACGAAAGGAAATTCTCTCTGATTCTGAAACATACGAAACTCTCTCTAATACAGAAACATAAGGAAACTCTAGGTACAAATTGAAAGCAGCCATGCGTAGCTGTAAACATGGGTCTTGTCCAAACAGATCAGAGAACGGTTTTTGAGCAGGCTGAAAGCGGAGAACCACTGAGTTCAGTGAGTTGTGCTGTGGGCTCAACGATTAGTCATCCCAATTTCACTCCTGATGTGGACGTTCTGCCCTGCACACCACAACACAGGCACAAACACAGGCACAATGTATCAGTTTACTCCACAGAATTGTGAAATGGGGTTTAGCTTCTGGGCTTTCCTGATCCTTTGATGCTGAGAAATGCTTCGGATCGTTGGAGTCAGTGTGCGGCATTTTAATCACTGTTTTATGCACATTATGAAACGCAGATTGGCCTCAGGGCATAATTAATAAGTCTGACAGTTTTACTAGGAGTAACTTGCATTATTGAATGGATATTCTTAATAATATATTTCATGTTTTAAACGACCCTCTGATTTTTAAGGGGTTGGTTGCAATTGCTTTTGGGGAGAAGATACAAGTGTGTTTGTGTAATATGTGTTTCTAGTATTACATGTAGGTGCTCTGTCTACAAGGGGTTGAAAATATCTACGAAAAATAAAAATAAATGATTCTAATTATCACACGTCACCCTTAAATCAAGGCGTCGCACACTTCTCTGCATGGATGTCATTAATTTGTTAGTGGCGCTATCTCGCTTGATCTTCTGCTAAAATTTTAATGCAGCTCATCAAAAATTCATGCCCGCGAGTTTTACCAGCGTGGAGTCTGACGCTAAAAATCAGCCCGGCTTTGGACTTTCCGACAATCGCCGAGGTCTGGACTAAAGTGTTCGATAGAACAAATTGTTGCTGACAATGACAAGTGAATCTGTCTATATCGAGTTGTGCCATGAAAGAAAACCGGCCTCCGATTTGGCGACTAATAAAGATTTATCTTGTAGTTATGTCACTTAGTATTCAGTATCTCGCCGTAATCTCTCGGCGTAATCACCCCGGCGCTAAAACCGTCGTAAATCATCACCGTCCGAGTCGTGTTTACAGTTTTACATCAAGGGTGACGGAGGGAATCATCATCACAGTTTGGACTACTCTTCAAGCTAGCCTCCACAGCATGCCAAAAACTGGGGCTTTGGGGGTCTTCAGGGCCTTATGTGCTATTTGTCTGATTGCATATAGACAACATAGCCGGCCTGGTTGAAATACCCCCGAAATGGGCTATTCAGAAAACAGCCGAAGACCACCAAACCCCCAGTTCTATAAGCCTGCTACGGAGGCTAACTTCAAGCAGAGGTTTGGGCTTTAGCTTTTTTTATGTGTTTTTTGGTGTTTTATTGGGCATTCAGTTTTACAAAATTACATAAATGGTGACACATGTTGAACAACTGTCCAAGGATAGGTTTGGGGTAGGCTTAATTTTTACGTGTTTAAGGCATTTTTTATTAGTGTTTTAGGCATTTTATTGGCAATCTTCTTTGTACTGGTATTTTTTTTCCGACAGCCAAATGGTGGCATATTGGATACTGCCTTGCCTATTTGATTTTGTCAATTTGACATGTACAAAATATGATCACTACCACAAAAGTCTATGTGCCACTTTTTTGTCCGATCTCGTACCATTTTTAATTTGCAGCTGTGTTCTGATTCTTGAAATTAAAGAGGAATAGGAAAAATTGGTATCAAAACTGTGCAAAAAAAATTGTACTCCAAAAACAAACTCCCAGACCAGACCATTTTAACTCCCACGACCGAATCCAGACACGAGCACAAAAGCCTGAGAGAACAAGTAAACACGGCAGTTTGCTTTGTGACAGCCCTGTACTCTCAGGAACTCTCCACTGTTTCTATATTCAGGGGAAGTCAACTCGAAACCCTACAGTGTTTTGTCCTGCGGCACTCGGCATTCATTAGCGAAGGTACAGAGCGGAAACACGCAACCCTACACCTGTTCTTACCGGTTGGGTGACGGCATCACATGTTTGACATAGTTTCTTTTGTTGTAAGGGTACATTTAACCAGGACCAGAACACTTGTACACAGGTCTGACTGAGTAGATGATACGGTGTGATTTGCTCTGACTGCAAGATACGAAAATATGCAGTTTAAACTGTGATTTCTATCAGTCGGACTTGCATCACATGTTTGACATAGTTTCCTTTGTTGTGAGGGTACATTTAACAGGACTGGAACACTTGGTACGCATGTCTGTCTGTGGGTTTTCTTTCTGTGCCATACTGTGCAATTTGCTCCGCAAGATACAAAAATAAGCAGCTTTTGCATTCTATAAATTGGAGGGTTGTTTCATGAAACAAGTTTTAGCCCCTAGACTACAGTATTACATTTTATTGTCCCCAGATCAAAAAGGGACTTAATGTTACAAATCTATGACCATTTTTAATGCTTTATGTTTAACAGATACCCCAGGCTTTTTAGGCTCTACCAGGCTTCAGAAGTGGCTAGCAACCATACTCCTTTAGCAGACCAACTCCCTGGCATGTTATTTGGCCAATTTCTACTCTTTCCAGCCACTTCTAAAGCCTGGTAGAGGCTACCCAATGCCTTGACCCCTCTCTACAGGCCATGGGGTTTGAATCCTTGATGGTTTTTAAATGGACTGTCATATGGCACAATTCAGGTACCAAAGGGAAAATGGCAATGACTGTATGGAAACCTTTTTTTACAGATATGCCCAGCATAACAGAGTTGTCAGCGGTGGCACTGACCCCTCTCTACATGAGCTGATGGTTCGTTCCATTAGGATGACCCTGACCTGTCCCAAGGTCAGGGGTCAGCTGACATCTGACAGGGTCACTGACAGGTCACTGACCTGGCACTTAAGTGGTGGAAGTGACCTGTTAGTGGACTACAAGGCCAGGGTCCCAATCTTTGCCTAACACTACAGTACATGTATGATGTACCTCAAATTTTAATATTGGAGGGTAGCTTAATGTTACTGGACTTATGACATTTGGGTCAAGGGTTTGAATCCTGCTCTACCACTTACTGGACCAAGAGGTCAGGGTTCGAATCCACGCCTGTCCATGCCTAGGTGCATCTCCAAATTTTCCTCGGCTGTAATACTGACAAGGGTTCGAATCCAGGGTTGGCCATAAAACAAAACCATATTACTATTAGATACCGAGCATAGCCTGGGTGCCATCCGATTTGTAACAGCAACACCAAAAAAATTGATTTTTTTTCGGGGTTGCCGTTACAGGTCGGATGGCACCCTGGCTATACCGAGCTCTAAATGCTTTATTTTTGCTTGGATTTTCTTTCACAGAAGAAGTGGAAAGGCTGTTTTTGCAGTGTTTTCAAGTTTGCGTAGCGCAACAATACTGTATAACAAGAATGCGTCTTCGCAATGTCACAGTTTTTACAAAAATGAAACCTTCGCCAGTATTACAAGACGTACGGTACACCTGAGAGGAACGTTCCATGTAATGAGTCGTGCTCATTGACGTGCAACAAATTGTTACCTGCAGGAAGGAGGTAACATCAAAGGAAAGACATCAGGCATTAAAGCCACCGACACACAGGTGTGGAGAGATAGTTGTTAGCCCATCATCATCTGACATTATCAGTTAATTCCAGACTGCTCTCGGCTAGGTTTTATTGCTTTTTCCCATAGACTGTTACAGAATCCAGGTCAGGGGTTCAAACCCAGGCTGGCATATGGGTCGTACTGAAGACTTTCAAAATTGGAACATGCTGATTTCTAAGGCTGTTTGAAACTTTGTATAGCACTCCTCTACCACATATCAAATTGCTAGTAAAAAATTTAAGTTATAACAGACATACTAGTACTAGTAGTAGTACTAGTAGTACTTAAAACAAGGGACATACTAGGCACATGCCATGAAGAAGGTAAAACAACACAATAATTTATTTGAA